TTAGTAACCATGGCAACACCGTTCATCGAAATCAAAAACAAATGCACTATTTAGTGTATCTTATTGTAGTCTACTTGTGTGCCAAATTATAATGAAATCAGATCAAAACTGTAGGAGGAATAGCAATTTAAAGGAATTTCACAGAAAATTCTATTTGTAGTAACCATAGCAACACCGTTCATCGAAATCAAAAACCGATGCACTATTTTATGTGTCTTAGTGTAGTCTACTTGTGTGCCAAGTTATATTGAAATCAGACCAAAACTGTGGAAGGAGTAGCATTTTAAAGGAATTTGACAGACATTTCTATTTTTAGTAACCGTGGCAACACTCTTTGTCGAAATCAAAAAGCGATGCACTATTGTATGTGTTTTAGTGTAGTCTACTTGTGTGCCAAGTTATATTTAAAATCAGACCAAAACTATAGGAGGAGTAGCATATTGAAAAATTGTTGACGGACAGACAGACAGACGGACGGACACCTTACTATCGCATAAGCTCTTCTGGTCTCTGACCAGTAGAGCTAAAAATTTCCATCTTAATAATGTTCATGTTAATAATCTTGTCGCATCCTTGTGAATCCGAAATTTGCTTGGGAAAAGTTACTATTACTCTGGTAAAAAATATTTCACAATAACTTCAACTTACTGTCAAATCTGAGGATATTTTCAACACAATTTCTTCATCTTTGAAACAAAGCCATCACACATTTTTCCCAAGCAAGATTCAGTTAGATGGGAAACTCCTCTTACAGATTTCCACAAAATCTCAAATAAATCCTCAGTAATCACCTGCGCCAGACTCTTTTATTTGTATTCATCACCATATTGTGATAAATGCCTTTAACTCCAGTGCAAGCGAGATAACTCTTGTAGCCTTATTCCCGATGAAACAATTTCAAGGCCTACATCGAGTAATAAAATCAAGCCCCTAGCGATACTGATTTAGAATATTCTAGAAGGAAGAGAGCATGGAAGCAGCCGGACATCTTTAAAATATTCCACCCATTCACCCTTCCCAAAGTACAAGAACATATACTTGCTGTGTTTTTTCTTTAATTCTGTGATTTCAGTGAATGGAGTCTGTTCACTATTGAAATTCAAGAAAGTTGCACATGGAGAACTTGTATCTGAAAGACTCGTGAAAATAATATGGACAATACGTAATGGTGTACACAGTGGGACAGTTCTGTGAAATAGCCGAAATGTCATTGATTAGCAATGGTTGCTAAGGAATAATTGGTTCTTTTTTTTCAATGACGGTGGTGTTTATAGCAATGTTAATAAATACTTTGGGATTTTGACAATGTGTAACACAGGTTAAGTGTTCATTCATAGTATGCAAATGCACAATTTTTTATTAGTTGGGGAGATTAGGGTCAAGTCTGAATTGTCACAATCTGGGACGGGGGTGGCAGAGTTCGGAGATTACCACAAATGATGATTTCTACCATGTCTGGCTCAAAAAACTCGGGGTAATCTATCCTCAGTACTGGGGAGAATTTAGGGGTTACCTCAGTGGTACCTGAGGGACCAGCTTGATCGTTGTGGTACCAAGGGCAGGCTTTGGGGGTCTACCCCTGGGGGTGTTATCCCCAGGTAGTTTTGAACCAGGGGAGACAGTATAGAGTTAGGGCCTGAGTCAGAACTTGAATTCCTTGTTCATATGTAAAAGTCAGTCTTGTTAGCACCAAGACGTCTGTTCCAACCACAGTTATTTTCCCTATTGGGGCGCTATCGCGCCAGGTTAGTAGGAACGGAATCCCGGTAGGCAGGAAGCGATTCAACCAGTTTACTTTCATATACAATGTATAGATTGTGACAAACGCGTGCCATGAACTGTAAATGCTGTTTTATTAATAAATCGAGTTTAACTGATATGAGTAACAATATTTCATCGGGTTCGATGTTCAACTTAATGCTTACAATTTACGCCATGCTTGTTTACATGTTCTAATAATATAGGAAAAAGAGTACCAAAGACCCAGATTTTAACATCATTTCCTGGTTGAACAAGATGAAGCAGAGTAATAAATGGGTAGGCTTTACCTGATTGGCTGAATTCAGGTATGTAAATATTTTCATTTTAAAGTAAAAATATTAATGTTTGAAATAAATGATGAATGTGGGAATATTACAGAAAATATAAAAATACCAGGGGAGATTGTAGGAGTGGGGATTGATATTTTTGGCAGGGTGTCATTTACTGCCGATCGCTGTAAGTTCTAAATAACTACAAATTTGACCTATAAACGCCGCGGCACGGTATATTTTTTTCCGTGTTTTTAATAAGTGCTTAGAACGAACTTTCAAATGATATCATAGATTTGTTTGAACGGGAATTAGTAAATTACTTGGAGGGCATAAGGTTTGTATAGAGTTCTATGGGAAATTAATTGGTACTCTTTTCCCATAAATGTAGTCTAGTTGAAACTGACTTTTCGTTTATACCAGGAGGCAGCAGCATATTGAAACATGGTGTCAGAAGTTTCGGACCATTATTAGTGAGTACGGAGATTGAAAATATTGTGTAACCAGCCACAATTAGAGACAAAGTGACATTTTCCTTTGTTATTGTTCGAGAGCGCGCCAAAATCGACAACAATGGAAAACGTACTTCATCCGCCCGAAACAATGGATTTCGATGCTAAAAATCCACAGCACGATGCAGTTTCAAACTACCGATGAGCAGGGGAACAAAGTGAATATGGAAGAGAAAAATATTACTGTAAAACTCATCCTAGCAGAATTTGACAAACACTGTGATCCCAAGAAAAACGAAACAGTCGAGAGGTACAAATTCTACAGTCGAAACCAGCAGATAGGTGACACATTTGACAAATTCTTAGCAGAAGTTAGAATTTTGGCTGACACTTGTAACTTTGGAACTCTCAAAGACTCAATGATAAGAGACCGAATTGTTTGTGGCGTAAGTGATTCTGGGCTGCGAGAAAGGCTTCTACGTGAGGTCGATCTGGACTTGGAGAAATGCATCGATGTGTGTAGAGCCACTGAAGTCTCCAAGGAGCAGAACAAGGAAATTCAACCACAGGCTGCAGGAATCTCTGTGCATGCAAGAAGAGCTTCAAGAAACAGCCACAATTGTCCTAGAAACCACAGCAACAGGTACAAGCGAGACAAGAACCTAGTCAATGCAAGTACTGTGGAAGTCGCCATACCAAAGGAAAGCGAAATTGCAAAGCCTATGGCCATCAGTGCAGGAAGTGTCGCAAACTTCATCACTTTGAAAATGTCTGCAATTCCACAAAGTCAACGGTCCATCAAATCCAAGAGAGTGCCGAATCACACTCTGATGATTACTATTCTATATATAGCGTAGATCTCAAAAACAACAGCGAGTCAGTAAATGCAATTAACCAAGCTACCGCAAACAAGGTATTTGCCACTTTGTCGGTCAACGGACAGTGTGTGAAATTTCAAGTGGACAGTGGGGCGACCTGCAACATACTCCCAAGAAATTATTTGACAGATAACAATGCCATCACAGAGACAGACCAAATACTCAGCATGTATAACAACACGACAATCAAACCACTGGGCAAGTGTAACCTAAAATTCAAAAATCCTAAGAGTGGAGGAAAATACAAAGCGGATTTCATCACACTGGATGGCTCATGTCAACCAATACTTGGTTCCAAATCTTCTCAAGCCTTGAAATTAATCACGGTCGAGAACGAAAACATCCTTGAAATCAATATGAGAAAACAACCATGGTCAAAGGAGAACATTTGCAGAGAATACCATGATATGTTTACTGGCCTAGGACACCTGAAAGGAGATTACAGCCTCCAGATTGATCCGAGTGTCAAACCAGTTGTTCTTGCTCCACGGAAAGTTCCACTCGCAATCAAGAATGACTTAGAAAAGGAACTGGAGAGACTAGTACAACTGGAAATTTTAGCCAAAGTTACTGAGCCTACACCATGGGTCTCCAGCTTGGTTGTAGCAAGGAAGCCAAGTGGAAAACTCAGAGTCTGCATAGACGCCCAAGACCTGAACAAGGGACTGCAGCGAGCGCACTACCCTATGCCTACAATAGAGGACATCTTACCAGATTTGTCAGATGCCAAATGCTTCAGCGTCTTAGATGCCAAAGATGGCTTTTGGCATGTTCGTCTGGACTACGAAAGCTCTCTTATGACTACTTTTAACAGTCCGTTTGGCAGATTCCGCTGGCTCCGCATGCCATTCGGTATCAACACTGCGCCAGAGGAATTTCAGCGTCGCCAGCATCAAGCACTGGAAGGACTACCTGGAGTCAAGAGTATACATGATGACATACTGGTGTTTGGAGAAGGAAACACAGAAGCAGAAGCGCATGAGGATCACGACAGAAACTTTGTCAGTCTCATGATGAGATGTAGAGAACAGCAGCTCAAACTCAATAAGGACAAGATGAAATTTCGACAGTCAGAAGTAAAATTCATACGACACACGATCATTAATAAAGGACTCAAGGCAGACCCCGAAAAAGTCAAAGCAGTCTTGGATATGCCAAATCCAACTGACGTAGCAGGAGTCCGACGATTCATTGGATTTATGACATATTTAGCAAAATTCTTACCAAAGCTTAGTGACATCTGCGAGCCGCTGCGTAAGTTAACACAGAAAGATGTTGAATGGCATTGGACCCTACAACATGACGAAGCTGTAAAATAAGTGAAAAATCTAGTCACAGCAGATCCTGTGTTACAGTACTTCAATCCAGAAAAGGCACTAACACAACAATGCGACGCCTCGGAGAAAGGACTTGGAGCAGCTTTGTTGCAAGAGGACAAGCCGATTGCCTTTGCCAGCCGTGCCCTGACCGAAACTGAAACCCGCTACGCACAAATACGCTTCTGGCGGTGATATTCGGGCTTGAACATTTCAATGTTTACACATTTGGGAGACCAGTATCAGTCCAATCAGATCACAAACCTTTGGAGATGATTGTGAATAAGCCTCTTTACAAAGCGTCTCCAGAGCATGCTGCTCAGGATGCAAAAGTATGAAGTAAATCTTAAGTACCGTCCTGGAAAGAACATGGAGCTAGCTGATACCTTAAGTCGTGCGTATCTGCCCAATGAGAAACCATCAAAGGCGGAGTCATTAGTAGAAGCGATAAATACTAGTATGCTACAATTCCTGCTAATTGCACCAAACCGTTTGAAAGACATTCAGGACGAAACTGCAAAGGATAATACCCTGCAAAATTTAGGCGCATTCATCAGAAATGGGTGGCCAGACTGCAAAACCTTAGTTCCAGAACTCATAGTTCCCTACTTTGAGATCAGAGATGAACTGTCTATCCAAAATGGAGTCATTTTTAAAGGAGACAGAGCAGTTATTCCACAAGCACTACGCAAGGATATGCTAACAAGGATACATTCATCACACCTTGGAATCGAGGGATGCCTACGACGAGCCAGGGAATCTGTGTACTGGCCACAAATGAACACTGAAGTTAAGGACTTCATACAAAAAAGTGAATCATGCCGCACTTTTGACAACAACCATGCCCAAGGAATAGAACCTCTACAACATCACGAGGTACAGTGGCTGGAACGTTATTGTTGACAACTTACACGAACGATCACGTTACACGAACGATTCCGCACGATTAACGCACGATTAAACCTGTTACACGAACGATCTTTCACGTTCACGATTCTACACGTTACACGATCTTACACGATTGTTAACGCAAACGCACGATTCTTCACTCAAAATAGTTCAAAATATTTAGGAATCTGGTATTTTCAAAACGAAATTCGGCTTAATACTTATTTAAGATTTCAAAGAATTATCAATATTATTTCATAGACGTTTAAGAAAAAACGGAAAATGATATTTCTGTAACTAAATATATGCAAGATTTAATATTTTAGATTAAAAATAATTATTTCTAAGGTAATTCTCCGATTAAAAAAAACGGATTTTGTTCGTTCTATTAGACGATGTACATGTACACTGTATGTGGGTCGTATAATTTGATTGAATTGGATATCATGATATGCAGAAAGGGGGATACGATTGAACAAAAATGGCAGCATGGAATGACTTAAATTATAATTACAAATTTTATCCTTATGTTTCCAATGATTCAATGTCTGATAAACTTGCCAATAATTCAACTTTTTTATTTGCAGAAATTTAAAATTAATTAATTACAAATAGGCTCAAGAGATAAACACAGATAATCAAAACTCCCGAAAATCTTGCCGTGTCCATGTATACAATGTATTTGTCGACTAACTAGTTATGTAAGCATTGAGAAATGTTTACTTCTTTTTAAAAAAAATATATATTTATTTATTTTCAATGAATTGATTTCAAGATAATCTTGACCACAATAAGAAGTAAATAATAATTAAAATCAGATTTTTCAAAAAGGCGTTAAAGATCTAAGTACGGTTTATCACAATATTGATCGCGCTATTTGACGAGAACTTAATATTGTACGACTTACTATATTGCTTGTTTACAGGCGATAATTAGTTCGTTCTGCATTCTATTATGTAAATAGCGCTTTTTCATTTTATTTGGATTTTAATTAATAAATTAAGAAAAACAAACAAGGGAAATGCTTATATTACAAATAACATTCCGTAAAAAACTTACAAAACGAAATTTACACGATTCCAAACGCACGATCTCGCACGATTAAAAATGCACACGATTGAGTCTGATACACGAACGATCTCGCACGTTAGACGAACGATCACTCACGATACACGAACGATTCTACACGATTGGTTTGTCAACAATAACGTTCCGACCACTGTACCACCACGTCCCTGGGCGAAGCTTGGACTCGACATCTTCACTTTCGACCAACGTAACTACTTGATAGTAACTGATTACTTCTCAAACTTCTTCGAGATTGATGCATTGGACAGAATGACATCCCATGAGATCATTAGACGACTACGAGCACAATTCGCGAGACATGGAATCCCAGACCTGTGTGTGTCAGACAACGGTCCTCAATTTGCCTCCGAAGAATTTGCTAAGTTTGCCCAACTGTGGGACCTCCAACATGTTACATCTTCACCACACTACCCACAAAGCAATGGGCAAGCCGAACAAGCAGTGAAAGTTGCCAAACAAAATCTAAAGAAAGCAAAACATGCAAAATCTGATCCTTATCTTGCATTGTTGGATTTCAGGAACACACCTACACAGCATGTGGGAACCAGTCCAGTCATGAGACATGGGAAGGAGAACAAAAACACTACTACCCACGAAAGGAAAGTTATTACAGCCGAAAGATGCAGCATTTGAGAAAGAGAAGATCGACAATGCCAAACAAAAACAAGCAGAGTATTACAACAGATCTGCACACCCATTATCGCAACTATCAGTTGGTGAGACTGTCCGAGTCAAAACCCCTAATAGACTATGGGAGAAAGGAACGGTTACGGAAGCAATACCGGAAAGGAGATCATACAAGGTAACGACCGAGGCCGGAGCAAACTATACTAGAAACAAAACATTTGCGTAAATCAAATGAATTGCCCGTGTCAAGAGACATTCCGTATGATCTTCCGTGTGAGACAAATGAGGCCAAGGAAGTTGCACCTGAAATTCAAAAGCCAGTAACTGACCCTAAGAACACCTTTACTCGATCTGGACGTGAAGTGAAACCGCCGGTTAAATTCAATGACTATGTTAAATCATGATTTGTTGATAGACATTTTAACTTGAGTAGATGCCAAGATGATTTTGTTTAGTGTAGCTAGGAACGTTTTATTCATTTCATTGATGTTGCACTTTACCATTTTGCATATAATACTCATAGTCCAATTTCTAGTCATATACCGAGCCAGTGTCACTTTTAGGCATAATATAAATTTCTTCATTGTCCATACTATTCTAACTAAAGAAAAGGGGATGTAACAATATTTGATAGGGTTCGATGTTCAACTTAATGCTTACAATTTACGCCATGCTTGTTTACATGTTCTAATAAATGTAGTCTAGTTGAAACTGACTTTTCGTTTATACCAGGAGGCAGCAGCATATTGAAACAATATGTTCTTAATAGTTCTGTGTCTGGAATTAAACACATACCGAGCCGAGGTATAAAAAAGGTTAAGTGTCAAACTTATTTATATCGTATACATTTTGAACACGCTGACTTTTATACAAGAGTATTAAAGCAAAGATATCTAAAATATTCGGATATATAAGATTTTTAAAAAAAATTAAAACAAGTTTATTTTACACTGGTTTTAACTAAAGATATATCATATCCAGGTTGAAATAAGACGAAGTTGATGACACTCTCCCCATTATTATAGCTCAAGTATGCAGTGATTTACGTCATTTTCAATTATGACGTCATACTTTTGTAGTTCAGAGAAGTGAATGCACAGTGTACACTGTGATATTCTCTGGGAATCCTTAACGTACATGCGTTTACCTAAAACATAATAAATTGATCATTTGTTACCATTTTATTTTCATGGTCCATAATTAACCGTCACTTCTCCACTCATTGCATTTGTTCCTTCAAAACCAATAAACCTCACTTTCGTGAGATCAACATTTCTGTTGAAAGAACTGCTCAATGGCTGTCAGCAGGCTAAAAACTAGCTGCAGATCTGTAGCTCTCCGAAAAAAAAATATATTGATAGACCGGAGAGCTACAGTGCCACCCATTGAAAAAACTGTATATTTATTGCGCACAAAAAAGTGCGCTCGGTTCTTAATTAATTCTTCCAAATTCTTACCTCAATTGCAAATAAGGAAAGATTTCAAAAAATTCCTTTATCTTCTATCAAGTACACTCGTAGTTGACATTCAAACGAAGCATATTGGACCGAATTATCTTTGAAACCAAAATGGCAGTATAAATAAGCGAAATGTTCGATGATTAGAATATCAGGGTCAGGAGGCCTATTAACAACAATTATGAGGAATGTTTGGTTGTGGAAAAAGCGAAAGAGTATGTTAGGAACCCACGGTTAGTTATATTTTGAGATTACAGTCTGAAAAACATGGAGAAATAAATCGATAACCGAGCGCAGTTTTTTATGCGCAATAAATATACATTTTTTCAATGGGTGGCACTGTAGCTCTCCGGTCTATCAATATATATTTTTTCGGAGAGCTACAGACCTGCAGCTAGCTAAAAACATCCTTTTTTTGTACATGTGTCAGTCCCATGTTGTGCTCTTTTACCTCATTATTGTGTAACCATTTGCACATTATTGAAAATTGTTCTCTGTTAGCCTCATCTGTACTCTCGTCCGCTAATAAGGTAAATGCGAGGATAAAAATTCTTCCTCAATAGGTCTGATTATTGCTTCTATTATATCGGTAACCACAGTAGACGACAAATAAGTTACCGATGGATTTTTATCAAGATAAGCGGACAGTTCTTCAACACCCAGGTCTGCAATGAATTTAATGAATTCTTCAGTTTAAGGTAAGTGCCCATCTTTTCCTTACCAGAAAAGAAGCACATCGTACTAATTTCTCAAGATATTTTCTGGCAGATAGTATTTTCATTTCGTCACAAGCAGCTGCAGAAAACTTGGACCACATAGAACTTATTTTGATCTGTAGTGTGTGTACGTAAAAAAAGATGTGGTATGTCTTTAGGCTTGTTTATGTTTTCCAACTTTCTAGTGGGATGAGTACCCCGCAATACTCCCTTGTCAATAAATTTACGTTGTGGGCCTGGCTCTGGAGCAAGTTCACAGTTAAATTATCGTTTGTCATTCGAAACCACTGACGGACACTCATCAACTTCAGACTTAGTCTGAATTCTCTGACTCATCGATCAGAAGTTTAGACGTATTTATGCACAAGCTCGCCGATTCCTCATTAACAAGTTTTATATTCTCAGACTGTCGCTACAAGTACTAATGTTTTTGTCCGGTGGAAACCAGCACTCGGCGTCGGAACTACATGGTTGATTTTTCAGTTTGGCTATTCTGACATTCGGCATCAGTAAAAGTGCAAATCGTGCTTTGAGTTTCACTTTCGGTAACTGTATGGTTGGAAAAGTATATGTAAATAAGTTTAACTTGCTTTGTATCACCGAGTTTATTATTTTTTTTTTACTGTAATACTTTGAATTGTGCGACATGGTGACAATGTGGTGACCTTTACTTCGAGCATGCGTTTTAGATTTTTTAAAATATCGATCCCCATTTTGTTATCACGAACTTTGGGACACGTATTTTATTTTTCTTAAACGATATTTACATGTATTTGGTGGCCATCTCAAAGGGTCCCGCTTTTAGCAATAAACATGAAAATGAAGGTAGCTAAAAAGGGTTTATTTTGAAGGTGTTTGAGATTAAAGGGGACAAAAAGTAACTACTCCCTGAAAAATAATACAACTAAAAAACTTTTAAAAGTGTATCCTCTATGAAAATTGTTGCATATCCTCTATTAAAATATGGAAGGAAAACTCACAGATGTTCCATATCCAGTCAATTTGTTTGAGACTGAGTGGACGTAAGGGAATGAAATTATGCACCAAACAAAGATTTTACACAGAGAGGCTATTTTTGACCTTGACCCTTGACCTAGAAACTTTGTTCAAGATCACTGCACATTCA